AACCAGGAACTCAACTTTATTAAAAGTGTCTCCTGAACAATCAAATTTATATGCGTTACACACGCAATAGTAATCTTTGTCTCAAAGTACGTTCGTTTTTTGTTTTTTTTTTTGTTTTTTTTGGTGAAAATGCCCGGTTGTCCGCCCGCCGCCTCTCCTCCTCCCCTCTCCGAGTATAGTTATTACAGTAAAACACTAACATTTCTTCCAATACGTTCGTATATTGTGGACAAAACAGTGTCTTTATGTTGCAGAAGATAGTTATTATCTCTGAGATTAATTTCAATTAAATGTTTGAGCGTGGTCGGTATACGCCGACACGTTTTTAAATCGTTGCGTGACAAGTCCAAAAATTGTAATTTTTTAAATTTTTCCAAATAATAAAGTGCCGAATCCTCGAAACATGTTCCACGTAATTCTAGGCGTGTCAATCTCGGTAAAACGGGAGCGTGTCCTAATGCATCGTACACGAAACAGCAATTATTCATCGTAAGACATTCTAAGCTTCGGGGTAGATTATACACAAAATCTTCGAAAACAAACAGACCATTCGCAGCGAGTGTCTTTAGTGCCGGGAGAAATGGTAACCATTCGAGCGAGTTCACATTAGTCCAGCTGATAGACAGACATTCTAGTTTGGGCGTATGACTTAGATATTTCAAATCGGTGTTTGCGAACGACGTTCCCGTCAATACCAGTATTCTAAGATGAGGTAAACTATAAACAAACGTATAATCAATGTCCACGTCGACACATTCTAATTTTAGACACGTCAGGTGCGGACTCGATGTCAGAAAACGGTATGCGTCCCTTATGGTCGATTGGCGGACACTTAAAGATTTCGTGTAGCGTAAGTGTCGTTGCGGCAATGTATCCCGTGGGCGTGGTTTTATTGCCACGTTATTGAACGAAGCGTTTTTCCATACACTCCGGTCTGCATGCAACACCCACAGACGTTTACAAGTGAGCGCCAATCGATTAGTCGTGACGTTGGTTGACAAATACGACATTACGCGTAGTAACACTTCGTCGGGAAGATGTAGTATATGCATCATGATGATGATGATGATCAAAATATAGTCTACTGTACCAATCCTATGAAATGAATCGCGTGTACTATTTTGTCGAATGAATATATCCTTCGTGACAATATTCACAACGACGTCAAAAAATGCAAAGAAACCGGCGAACGGGTGACTTCTATCCGAATCAAATATAACTAATTCGTTATTACGAACGTGCCCTTTATATGGGACGCATACATCTTTCCGGTCCCCGTAGTCACACGAATGTCTGATACATTCCATCTTTGTGTGCGTGCCCGTCGTTATCTGATACGTAACGGAATTCAGATGTTGCCGTTCCCATGTGTTCTTTTGTTTATCGAGTTCATGAAACGTTGCCTGGACAGAAATTATATCGTATCTGTCGTTATGAGTACGCACATTCAAAGAGTGTATGCACACTAATAACGCGGGTGATACATTGAAAAGTGTAAACCTATCTGTGTGGCAACCTGTGGGATGGGGCATATTACTCGCTTCTACAATGTCCAATCTATCATCACCGGGTAGTTCACAAACTGTCATTGCGTTCATACGCACTAAATCACCTTCGATAG